AGCTATATTTAGCTTATGTATAATAAAATACCGTAACCCGTAATAAAATGATAATTAAAAATTTCAGCTTTTTTTATTTTCGAATTTTTTCCTTTTTTTTGTATTAATTAGTAAAACTTTGGAATACTTTGAAGTATTTTTTGCCAATTAAAATATTAATGAAATTAATTTGAAAAAGCAAACATTTCGATATTCCCGCATTAATCGTCGATGGATAAACCAATTAGCACAACATAACCATGGATATTGCCAAATTTTTATTCCAATTTGTCGTGGTACCATTTGAAATTCATCAATTGCTAATGCTTTAATTTCTTCAGCTACCTTTAAATTATTAACATGATAATTATTTTTTTTGTTCAAATCATTATTAATTATGTAATCTTAATAAGTGGACTGTTTTGTTTTGACTAAGATAAATTTATGACAGTTGGCATCATTAGCTACTTCTAGCTAATTGTATGTCACATTAAAAATGACTGCCTTTGATAAATTTGTTCGTTTGAATTTGATAAAAGCATATGCAATTTAATCAAATATTTGATTATTTGATTATGCTTCATCGAATTCAAACATTGAAGAAAAAAAAAAACCTCATAATACCTAAAATACTATGGAATAATTTTAAAGAAAAAATCAATCACTAATTTTATAAGTATTATGTAGTATTTTTTCAAAAAAAAAAATAAAAATCAATTAGATACTACTTTCAATTAATTCAATAATTCGATTTTTGATTATTCCATTACATATTTCCCGATTTACTAAACTTAACTTAATATTATATTCTTTTCAATGATAAAAATAAGGCAATGATATTTTTTATGATGATAAGCTTATCATTTATAATAAACAAAAACAACGCCTATATGCTATTTATATGTGATGTTAACAAATTTTTTCACTGAAATAAAAAATCTATCATTTTGTACGTTTTATATATAAACAATTGTAAATTGTCTAAAAAAAATTGAAAATTAAAAATTATATTTTTAAAAAATATCTTTTTTTTAGGAAAATTTCAAGTATATATTTTGAAAAGAGCACATTAAAATTGGAATAATTAATGATACAAATTATTCCAATCATTTGGAAATTAATATTTATTGTTGCTATTAATAGAAAAATGTTATTTAAATTATTTTAAATCAAAATTGCATGACAATTTTTTTCGCTTTCTTTTTCTCAATTAATTAATTAGGGGAGAAAAAAAAAATGAGAAATGAGTAGTGGAAGGTTGAATGTTGTGATTAAATCGTATATTAGGGAAATGATTAAATTGAAATAAGAATTTATCATATTTGATTATCAGTTAATTGATTAAATGATAAATTATTTGGCATAAATTATCCAAACGAAAAATTTATTCTACTATTTATGTGAAATTAAACAAAACTTTAAGAAAAAAAAGAGAAAAAAAAGTGCATTGAAAGAAAAAGCAATTACATATCACTTATCTGATAAAGATCAACTCATATAATTTATTTGATAAGACTCATTTCATATAATTTATCTGATAATGGTCATTTCATTTAATAATGACTATTCCAAATATCACTTTTCTGAACAATCATTTATATGTCACTTATTTGATAATAATCGTTTTTTTCTTTTTTTTAATCACTTTGTTCGAGATGTTATCACAATTCCTCTATACTATCATTATCATAAAATTTTAAGAAATTATCATGAAAATATTACACTTTGAGCAAATCTTTCATCAGCTTCTTCACTAGCATTATCAGTTGGTATTTGTGCAATTCCTTCAGGTAATTGTTGTATTATTGGCTGTATATTGTTCAATTTTTTTAACCGTTTACTATTCACAAACAACAGATTTGTTACTCATTATTCTATTAATTTCTATTAATTGTAATTTATTAATTTCTTATTTATATTTGATATTAATGAATTTTTGCAAAATGTTAAAGTTACTTCTTCCGGAATTATTTTAAAAAATTTTAATAAATTTTAAAGTTTGCTTGGAAAAAAAAAAGGAATTATGAATGTTAAATTTGAATTTAATCAACAAATACATATTTAATCAATCTTTGTTTTTAATGAAAGTAATGAAAACTGACATTTTTAATCTATATTTTAATTTTTATATTTTAACTTTTTTTTAAATTTATATTTTAATTTTTTGATTAGATATACCATAACTTTCGGTCATTTGTGTTTTAATTTTTTATTTTAATTATTTCAGTATTGAAATAATACTAGTTTAACAAGTATTAATCTTATTTCTTTATCACTAGTATCATTTGATAAAAATTTCAAAAATTTTAAACAAAACAAGCCTTTCCATCTTTTTTAATTTTTACAAGAACTCGTTTTCGCTTTGGTTTTTTCTTAATTCGAAGCCATTTTTGCCTTTCTGCTTCTTCCTTAAATAATTCTTTTTTTTTTATAAAAAAAATTTTAGCTATAATTTTTTTGATCGCAATATATTGTAATCTTCCTGATATAATCATTTCCTATATAAGATTTTACCAATAATTTTACCTCTATTCAAATCATTCATTTAATCTCTCTCTCTCTCTCTTTCTCCCTTTCTTACTTTTAATAATTATATTTCTTGTTATTGAATTTTTATCAGTGATATGAATGATAAGTGTTAAACTACTTTTTCAATTTCATCACGTTGTTTTGCATCATTTCTCGCATTTTCCATTTCCGCATGCTCCAAATGGCTTGACATTTGAGTTTCCATTTCATGCGTCATCGTCATCTTTTCTATTAATTTTTCAATTCATTTTTATAAATCAATCCCAATATAGTTACTTATAGCTAATTAAAAACTAAAATCTAATACATAAATAATAAAATAACAAAAAAAAACAAAATTTATTATTAAATAAACTTGAAAAGAATCATTCAAAGAAAAAAAGAAAGTGAAAAGCAAAAAAAAAAAATATTGACAAAACACGCAATATTTAACATCAACAAGAAGTCAACAAAAAGTACAAATGTAATTGAAGTATTTATATTTAAGTTTCGCATTACTAAATTAAAATGAAAGCAAAAATGATAAATATTTTGTTTGAATTATATGCTAACAAATAAGAAATACGGATGAAAAAAGATATTTCTGTTAATAAAATGCATTTTAAATTTCATTTCCAATTTTTTCTCATATCTTTTTTAGTAAGTACAAATTTTTTTTTTTGTCAAAGTATACAATGCATTTCAAATTAATTGATCATTGTTGAAAAAAATAATTTTGTCTGTAAAATGATTGAATGAAATGATCAAATTGTAGAAAGAGCATACCATTCAATTTAATTGGAATTTTTTAAAATGAATAATTTATTTGAAATTTGATTTTTAAATTTCATTTTTTCTTTTTACTTTTTTTTTTAAAAACATTTGCATCAATTTTTATATTATTTGCATTTTTTTTTAATTAATAGTGATAATTGAAAATGACAAACATACATTTTGAAACGTATGGTATGCGTTCATAATCTTTTAGCACAAGTCTGTGTATATAGTTGATAACTGATGTGACATGTGACAAGTAAATTGAGCGCAAAATTTTTGTCAAAATGAAATATATTTTAGTGCCATTAAATAGATAAAATTTGGCATTTTTACTTTCAATTTTAAAATTACCAAATTCTAAAAATATTTTAAAATTTGATTATTTAAAATTTGTTTCTACTTTTTCGTCTTGATTTGTCTTCTCTTCTCTTGAAATAAGTCGTAAATGTTTGAAACGTGTCAACGTGTTTTAAACGTGTTGAACGTGTTTACATGAATGCGTAATATCTGATACAATTAGGTTAATTATTTTAATCACTTATTATTTAATTAATTAATAAATTGAAAGGAGTTCTAAGAGATAAGAAAGGAAAACAAAAAAAAAAACAGTATTATTTCGTGTAATATTTCGTTGCTTACTTTAATTATATCATATTTTGAAATTTTAATAATTAATCCAATAATTATAAACAGAAAAAAAAGTGTTTAAATCCAAATATGCAAAAATTTGTATCAAATTATTTTGTTAATTTTTATCAAATATTTTTCAAATAAATTGGTTAACAAAATACTTTTAATAATTAATTTGATGAAATAATTGAGATAAATTAATGATTTTAGTATGAAATATAGCTTATAATTTAAAACTTTTCGTAATTTTCGCAATCATAAGGAATTTAAATAATTAAAAAATTGAATTCAGATTTTATAATTCCTAAGATTTTATTTGAGTATTTTATTATATTGAAATAATAACATCGAGTAAAACGTCATGTTTTAAATAAAACAAATAAGTAGAGCTGAAAAGGTGACGCAAATGTCCACGTAGATGATGACGTATGTCTAAAACTTGATGATAAGGCCTCTTTCTGCCTAGAAATAAGGAAGTATCTTTTGTTGGCCAAATAGAAGGAGAATGAAAAAAAAAAGAAGAAAAGGTAAAAGAGAGAGAGAGAGAGGAGGAGAAAGAGAGAAGGAGACCAGTTAAGGCTGTTTCGAAAGGTAACATTTAATGCCATATATATGGCAACCAATTTATACATACTACTAGTTACTTTGTTTAGCTGCTACTTTGATGGTAATCCTTCTTTTTCCTACTTTTTTTCTTCCTTTTTACGCTGCATGTTATTGCAGGTTACGTTGCATGACATTATGCAAGTCTTATATTACATTTGTAATGAAAAATGGTATACTGTATAATGTTTTTCCTTTTTTTTTGATATTTTAATTAAATTTTTTATGTTTTTCTTCTTCCCACAATTATTTTAATCTTTCAATTGCTATAATTAACAAATATATTATTAATTAATTTTTGCATAAAATTTAAACTTTCTTTCTGTTAATTATTGAATATTATAAATTATTCCATTCCTAATTGATAAAATCTTTAATATAGATTGATAATAATAGTATCAGTCGTATCAGGTTGAAAAGTTTTTTGTTTTTTTGTTTTTTTGTTTTTTTATTTTTTGTTTTCTTTATTTGTTAAGGAAATGAGAAGAGTTAGTAATAATTTT